GTCCCTATAATGTAACTTAAACTACTTATACATTTCTTAACTTAAATGTAAACATACAAGGTTGTATGAGATAATTAATTCACTAACTTTATTTCATTCAAAACTCTAAATCACTTAGTTATCTTTCGACAAGTTTTGACGATGTCAACGCGACGTCAGAATGTTCGAATATTTAATAAGGAAACATGTTTTGTTTACACAGGGAGCTATGGGTAATAGCATGCTTATATGCCGTAAAACATGTTGAAAAAGCGGCATGCAATTTTAGCGGATGGTGGTAAAATGACGTAATAGCGAAATGTTGATTTAGCGAATCTCTCTTGTCATTGTTGATTTCTTTGTTTGGCGGCCATTTTGAATTGATAACAAAATCATTAGCGACATCTAGAATTAGCGAATCAATTCTCTCGCTAAATTCGCGAAAAAGACGTGCTCGCGAAAAAACATGTTTTACATTATACTTTTGATCCAGAATTATGGGAACCAGAACTAGAAATTGGTTCACTGAAATACACATGGATTATTTATTACCTGTTAATTGTTTTTAAGGGAAGGAAGGAGTGTATTGGTGTTGAGAAAGAAGATCATGTAGATGCGTGTGAAGGGAGCTATGAAAGAATGGGTGGTGATGACAGACTTTGGTAATAAATATCCATTAAACATGAATTTCAAGAGATTCATACTAAGTTGAAGTGTGTGTAGATGTAGATGAGAGGATAGCCGGATATTAAGCCCTCAATCGACTAACCAAACATTCCTTTCTTTTTTTAACAGTCTATCTCATATAAGACTGTACACAGACTGTCACGTCGCGGTTATTCTTTTTATTGTAATTTGTTTTCAAGTGGAATATACTAAGGGTTGATGAAAAATTGTCAGTGATACTTTGCGATAACGCATATACGTTTAATAAAAGGTTACAGTCGGGATCTGTACATATTACTACTATGTTGTACTATTTTTACTTTTTTTTTAAATATGGAAATAACATTTTATTTCCCCACTCTCAACATAAACTGTCATTCGTTTTATGACAAAGACCATTGAGCGACATGACAATTGACATATTTTGTTTTAATCCACGAATAATCCAGTATAATCTCTTTTTACATCATGAAATTGTGAAATTCATTCGTTTTTTGGAAGAAAAACACATAATACAGAAAAAATATAATTGCTATATTATCTATATTTGTGTCTTTTATTTGTCTGAAAGGGCTGATTGAAATTACAAAGTATGTAGTTTGTTTAACAACTCATGTATGAACAATAAATTTAGTAAATATGATTTTACTTGATAAAAATACTGTATTTTTCTGCATAAAAACGAAAGAATTCCACAATGCCGAAAACGAAAAGTCTTTGTTTGCAGTGTTATCATTCAAATCGCATACGGCATTGAAGCTCTCGCTTTAAATTCCGATTGCTGATGAAAAATGTATCAACATAATGTCCATAACTCGTTATTATAGTAAGCTGACTTGCGTTGGAATAAAACTGGATTACATTTGTGACAACGCGATTGATCAGGAAATATTGCCGGCGACCGTTATACTGTTGGGGTCAAATCAGTTTGAATGTTTCATTGTTTTGGGTGATGTACATCACTACAGCTGTTTACAGTTGTCTAATCATTTACTAATGATTTTTGTTTGCATTCTAGTTAATTTTGCACAGTGTTTGGTTTGAAGCCTCAACATAAGTGAGGCGGTTACTAAATAAAAGACACTTTGCTGGGAAAGATGCAGCTATGAACACATTTGTTGGAAATGAAAAAACAATATTCAATATAAGGACAACAATTGCAAAATCTTATGAAATCTCATTTTAAATAAAAAGTATTATTTTCTAGTTTGTGATAATTGAGGGAAAACCAACTACACAGTTACACTTGATATCATCCTGGCCAATAACGGTGATGGTGGTGATATGAAAAAAAAACAAGAATCCAAATTCTCATCAATGTATTGACGCGACTCGAACTTCTCACTGATAAATTGAACGAATTATCTGAGATCAACGTAAATTAGCAAGAAATCAATAAATTGTCATCAATAGAATGAGAATATGATGTATTGCCAAAATGCCGGAGAAGTGTCCACTTCTCACACCAAACCAATTTGAGGTGCGAGTGAAAATACTAAATAATACCACAGTTTTATCATACTGCAAATCAAATCTGCTATAGTTGCAATAAGAATAACTATTTTTATACCGAAGAAATTAAAAATAAATAGTTCGTTGCAATAGTAAAACAACGGAACGGTAACTGAACACCATATGGTATGGTAATTCTCGAGCTTCTCTTTAGCGCAAACACGTGCAAATCGACGACTGAACAAAAATTTTAGACTTCAAAGGCAATTGAACCATTGACCGGTGCCAGTGATTTTTTTTCTCGTACACTGTAATTGTTTGTTCATTATTTCCTCCAGTTAGCACGCCGTCAGTCAATATAAAAGGCCAGTTCTGATTGGCTGTTGCTATTTTGGAGGTGTAGTCCCGGGTTCAGTGATGACAGTGGGTGTCTGCTAAGTTATTTACGCAAACCTGATATATACACTTACTAACATGAACCAGGAGTTAAATTTGTCGCAGCTGGGGTTATGTATTGAGCCCTGCATGATCTCTCGATATGCGTGAAATCATTGAATGTAAAAGGTGTGTAAATATGCCTATACGTAACTTATCATTTTTATATTGCAATACTGCTCTAAGTATTTATTTTACCGTTTTTTATTAATTCGGTAACCACCTCCTGTATTAACATTTACCTTTGACGGTTCAGTGGTCGGATTAAAGTGCGGTAGTCGTCGCGCTGCGCATGTGCGAGATATATGGGTCTCATGTAAACAAAGATGGCGACTTTGACTGTTGCGCAGATAAACGAGTACGAACTAACACGTTTCCAAGCTTTAATTAAGTAATTTTCATGTTATTGGAAGGTATCGATGGAGTCACCGGTGGTAATCAGTGCAAGTCGTGCCCAGGTCAAACCTCATACTTGTGATTTCCATTCGAAAAGCGCATTGGATTGTGGGAAAATTAACACAAATGTCGCACATGCGCAGAGCGACGACTGTCAAAAATGAAGGGTTGTAAATCTCGGCCTTAGACAACTTTGAATCTGTGCCTAGCTTATAACTTTAGTTCTGTCTATCATATATCCACCACTGAAAACAAGTTTTACTGCTAGGTTAGTGAATTTTATTTCAATATTAAAACAAAGATTCGGTAGTACATTCTGACCTGTCACTCTTTAGCATCTGTGTACCATCAGAACGTGCACGCAGATGACCATAAACACCAGTGTTGAGATTTCACCTTAGCCTCAGGTACACTTTTGAAAAACACAACACATGACACATGAACAAGTAAAAACAAATTTGGAAATAAGAACATATCAACCAAGATTAAAAGTTAAAAATAAACGCATTTTAAAACTAAACGGCAAACCTCTACCCCAACTGCAAAATGCTTACATGCACTGTCTTCGTTGATCACCCCTACAACGTAATCAAATAGCCCATGTCTTAAGAAAAGTCACTTCTGAACAAATTAAGAAAATTCGTTTATGTCTTTTGAGTTGTTTTGCAATGGTGAAAAATCGTTAGTAGAATCAAGACGTCTACTAAAATCTAATCGACTAGTCTTTGTATCCATTACAAACTTACATTACATTTATAAAATGTTCTTAGATATTTTCTTGTCATTACCATTGGATGACATTAATTATTTGAACTGTTTTACTAACAGAATGTACAACTGTTGCTGTTCCCTTTAAAAAGTGATAATAAATTTACAACCTCAAGGTTATTCTTGGCTACTCTAACAGTAACTTATACTTTTTCAAGTAAAAAAACTAACAAACAAATATTCTATGTACTTTGCTATGTTTATATAACAATAACACATGTACAGTTCTGACAGCCGAAGAAACACTATCATTAGAAAAAGTAAACACACCAGTATTCACTTTGAACAAAACATAATTAGATCTGTATCAACTCTAAATTGGTTTTCAATTGTCGGAGAGCCTCTTTCTTCTTCCGGATTTTGTCTTCCTGTGAAGCATCGCTGCTCGTGATTTGCGTCATTTCGATATTGAATTCTTTCATCAGTGCAAAATAAAGTGCTTGATCTCTAATGGTTGCCCTGGATAGACCAATAGGCACAGGGATATCTGAAACACAAATACAACACTTAATATTATTAGCCAATGTTTCATCATTTATTAATCATATCTAGACTTGATTTGATGAATATTTAAATAGCATAATTTTAAATCAATTTGAAACAGTATATTTTTTCTTTCTGATATTTAATGTCATCTTATGAGAGCGATAATTCGGAATATCAAATGATTCCATAAAAGAATCGAACATGATTTGAAATTTGGGAGAGGTGAATGACCAGTGACAATTCCATGAATTGCGCTGGAGACATCGACACCACTGTACATTACACAGCACTGCAATCTAAAACAATGATACCCTAGTTTTGTCTCCGAATACAATACAATACAATACAACATAATTTGATTTGCCAAGGCTACTAAATTGACATTGACCGGATATTCTATTGATTCAGCTCTTGAGCTAACTGATAACAGTTCAAAACGTGCATAGAATGGCAATCGCGTCTGTGTCACGGGGATTAAAAATAAAATTAAGCAGAAATTGTCATATTCATAGACGGCACACACCTGAATTCAGCCAAGCAGTTTATCAGTCTTTGAAGTAAAACTAGAATTCTCCATCAACTAACACAATCGTGTGATCCTAACAATATTAACCTGGATATTCACTCGCCCCTCACTGTGAATTAAAGATGTTATTCTATGCCTGGGCAAATGGCTATGTCAATAATTTATTAACTAATTGTCAACAATATCAACATGTGTATAAGACCAATTAATATTTTTCTATATTAGTGTGGTTTTATACAAGTTGTTTAGTTTAATGATTCTTTCTGGTGACAATACACAGTATGATATTTTGCCAAGCATGAATCCACAAGAGTGATTGTACTTACCAGTGAATGGGTGTTTATCTTTTCGAATTTTAGTTCGTCCTGTAGGTATAATAACATTTTGCAGAGAAATGAGACATTGGTTCATCAGAAATCAATCTCAGTTATTTAAATTTAAATCAATTATCAAGTTAATTATGTGTCACAGCTTGTGACGGTAAAGCGTTGCTGTCACCACACAGCCCCGTAAACGAACAATTTATTCACACGCGTCATTCCGTCGAATGGGACCCACACGGCGCGGTACGATGACTATAGTGCTTAAATCTTAGCCAGGTGTTCTAGAAAGTATTTGCTATCCAATAAATATGTAACGCAAATGTGGATAATATACCTGCGTGATTATGTTTGGATATATAACAGCGAAATTCGTCATGATTGCAGGGGAAACGATGTGGAAGATTGCCTATATGGCACTGATCGATATTGTAATCACCAAATTATTTACTTCTTTACAGATTATCACCAAATATAATCGCTTGTTTGTTGAGCTGGTTGAAACGAGTGAAGCCATGAGCTAGTTCATCCACGAACCGGAGTCGAGTGTATAATACAGCCCCGGGAATAAAGCCTAGTGTCAAATAAATCTAAGTGTCGTTAGGACGCTTACAAATCATATGCTAATTTTCGGTAACCAGACATGACAACTAAGCGCGTCGGTGAACATGTATTTTGCAGTTTAAGTATTACCTTTATTTTTATACGAGTTTAAACTCTCTGTCAAATTATTTCGAATTAGTCTAAGTCCCCTATTCGAGTAGAAGTTGTTATTTGATATGGATTTTTTTTTCTCCACGTACAGTTCGAACGTACATAAAATGGTGACGTTTAAGGCGAACCATGTGACGTTTACCGTAATATTTCACACTACACGACACAGTCAAGTGTAATAAGCGCAAACACATCCACGTGTTATCGGTACATATCCTCTTCACAAAATTACTGATTTCTATTGTGCCACAATGCATAGCAATCTATATATCAAATGAATGCTTGGAGCATTAGTTTAGTATTTTCGCAAAAACAGCTACAAACAAAAACGACAAAATAGCGGATAATTATAACGTACAGTCATATTTCATGATCTATTTCGCATGACATGACAGGCAACCATTTACAGTGAAAATTCAGTCGTTTTACCAAAAATTAGAGCAAACCTATTTCAGTAAGAATAATAATTTGTAAGACACTTGTTTTCTACTCGGAATTAAAACCATCACAATAACCAGAGTGAATAGTATAATATTGCGTTTAAGTCTGGTTGGTTATATAATGTATTGTACCTAAAGTGAATAGACAACATGACAAAATCGTTCATTTAGTTTAACAGTAATTTCATTTAATTTCATTTAATTTAATTACGTACCTTTTTCTTTAAATGTTTTCACCTTCTCAATAAGATCTTCCCTGCCGGCTCCTTTCAGAAGCTTATATAGAAATCTGAAGTTGTTTTCAGATATAAGACCCTCATCTGACAGGGTGAACAAGAATACTGCTGCATCAGGAAAGTATTTCCTTAAACACTCCAGATCTGGTCGTTTCCGTACCGCCAGGCGCTTCATCCTCTCAAGAGATTCTGTGGTAATCACCATGATAAAACTTGAGACTTAAATTTATCATCAACCATAAAGCTAATACTCGTATATCGAATCTCAAAAACAATAAACACAGTTCATCAAATATTCGTCAAACGGTTTTGCCAGGATGAAAAGCTCGGAAATATTTTGGGCCAAAATAAATGGAACAAGCATGGCCGGAATAAATTTTAAATCAAATTTGGTGTTAAGTGTTGCCCATTATACAGTTGTCGGGGATTGTTCATGTCGTTGCTAGTCAATTACTAACACTGATTTAGTTATTTAGATATCTTCTAAATAGACATGGGTTTGAACCAAGAAAAAATGGTATTTTGGATCTTTAGTGGCCAGCAATTTCGGACACCCCAAGGGCTAGGTATATGTACAGTAACATTAAAATGAATATAAATTGCACCTTACATGCAGACATACTTGCAAACATACGTGCGCGCGCATAAAAACAAAAAAATACTATACCCAACAAATCGACAAAAACACTCACCCATACGCCCATAGTTAGTGTGGCTGCGTTGAGCCTACCTACGCAATTCAGCGTTTTTCAAGAAGGCAAATCATGGTGTTAACTTGCTGAGAACTGATCGGAAATGCTAATTTGGAGGTGAGTTTAGCCATTAGTATAAACAAATGGTAGATTTCATAGGTAATTACGATTGTAGAACACAATTTATTCGAGTAAATTACGTAAATGTAATAACATGTAAAAAATAAAGACACACTTTGAAGGCGGCGTTACCGTCCTGCCAGCCACCCGTCCTGCCAGCCAGCGTTCATGCCGTGCCAGGATGCGTCTGTGCCATGCAAACAGATGCGGGGCAATTAGTTTACAGCATTATTTAATTGTATGATATCATCAAATGCAGCTTGAATGCTAATCACCCACCTCATTTATTTGTAATTTGGGGAAAAAAATAAAGGTAATTACAGATATCCACTTGAGTTTTGTTTAAGAAGTCAAAAACATGTTTTAAATTATTTGTCGTCACCACAAACATGGCACGGGTAACAGAGAATTTAGTACAACGATTCCGTGTATTGTCCAACTACTTGCCAGTCTGTAAACATTTCATTGTATTTGTCTCTCAAAATCCAGGCTTGTACCCTGCCATCGGGTAGAGATGATTTTTATGTCGTACTGTCACGGTGCAATACAATACTGAGATCAAATATTAAAAAAGTATATGAAACTTGAGTAAATTTGTTCCAAGATGGTGTATGAAATGAAAACATGTATAGAGAATAACTTTGTATCTAATGCTATAGCGAGCAATTCAGCAGTTTGGACGTATGGTTGTGATTCTGCTCGTCTTCGACTCCTACATTTATTGGTTATAAATAAATCACATGTTAATAATATTTATTTGGGTTTGATTTTAGAAGTAATTGGCCAATATAGTTATTGAATGCGTGAATGTGATAATCATGGGCAAAACATTTTTAACGTAATAGAAGCCGTGTGTTTGCCTTTTTAATGTATCTTGTTCATCCTGAGCCTGCACAAAAATAGGAGTTGACATGAAACATTTTATTTGGCAAAGAACCAGGCATAAAAAATATTGTACATGTTGACAGGGATAATAACTTTTCAGGTTTGGACTATCCTATAGTCAATGACCAAACGTAAATTGAGACGCGACTCCAGACGAGATCAAACGACCGTTAACTATTCATATGCAATCGCTTTTGAAAAAGTGTTGTCAAATATGAATCAACTAAATTTGAAGTTTAGGCAACGAATGAAGGTACGGATATTTAGTAAAAATACATTCTTAGTAAACTAATAATGAGCAATGCAAAAAAATAGTCATATTAATGTTCTGATATATAGGCATTTGTCGTTGTGACATTTTTGGTATATGTGCTACTAATTTCACAAATACAAATTTTAGCAATCATTTGAATTTTTCATGTGAAAAATTGCAAAAAACGCTTATAAACCTTTTTTTATAAGTCCCGATCACAGGTATCAGACATTTGGGTTTTAAATCAGTTTTTGGTTGGTCACGTACGTGGCTTGCTAGCCATTTTGAATTTATTCTAAACCATTTATTATCATGTATATTGATATACACTTGTTAAGAACGATTGGTGAATAAAATGTGTGAAACTCACCATAAGAAAGTGCCATACCCAGTTGTTCAATAAACACGTCGATGTCATCATCATCACCTAATTAAATATACAAACAATTGTCATTCTAATCATAAGTTATATAAATAAAATAACATCTTACCTCATTCATTATGTACCAAATATCTCATGTTTAATACAAATTACATAAATAATTATTAAAAGCATTACATTCGTTTATTATTTAAAGAAAACAACAGTTCCACGTCGTACAGTAATGTGTTATCGCCAAACATCGTGAGATTATTTTGACTGATTCATGTAAGTGGTTTACAAGTATTGTGAATTGTGAATAATTTGAACAGTGGCAGCTAAAGCAAAATTGAGTTGCACCAATACCATGACCCAAACATGCACATGTCATTTTCACTTGGGAATTTATGAATAATATGTCCCAATATTAATGGCCCCAGGAATAAACAAGAACGTACGTAAACTGTTTATGTCATGTGTTCATGAAATAGTGATACTACATACAACTGATGTGATGTCTGGCACTCATAGATTGTAATGTTATAACTGACTGCGAGATAAATGTGTGAGATATAAAAATATATACATCATCGCAATGTAATACAGTTCTTGAACAAGTGAAGGAATTCCAATTTGATATATCATTCTGAAACATAGCTTAGAAAGACAATTGTTCAAGTTTTGTACAGATAAGTCTTAATGAAGTGTATAATGTTTTTTTTTACAACTTGGATTCGTGCTACATTGTTGCCATTCCGGGATGTAAACTCGTTCTTACAATTAAATAAATACAACATTAGTATATTAGGCCCATTTTATATGATATTTCCATTGTGTACATGCGACGCAAAACTTAATATATTGCCAAATATTTTGATTTCAATTATTTCTATGGAATAGCAAATTTAGTATTTTTTGTCAAATTTGTAATTCATTATTAGTATCTGTGTGTTTACATTTCCGCGAATTAACATTATAGCATTTTACGTCTGGCCAAATAAATACGTGGAATCATTAATTACTAAGGACCTGGCGTAGAATTGGGAATTACTCCAGATAAACAAATGTCCAATTCGGGAACAGAATAATAGTATATTTGGTTATTGATGAAATAGTAGGACGCCACCAGACGGTCTGACTTAGCAAGTGCTTTGTGTTTCTCTCATGAAGTTGACGCTGATTGTGCACAAAGGAAGCCGCTCATCCCGCCATTGGATGGGGGCACATCGTGTACGTGGTGTTTACAAAGGATGTGGAGATGATCCGTGGTACATCGTGGCCAATAATAAAATGATTGGTTGTCCAACTGTGGGAGTGTCTTTTATTTCTGTGCTAATTATGCAACATCAAAGTCCCGCCATTTATTTTTCGTGGTTGTTCGATCATAATCGTCCGCACCCGTATCGGGAGTTTGGTTTACTATGTTGGTCGCTCGACGCCATATTTACCGTTTACCGCCATAAGTTCGGCCATTTAAAATCATATTCTGGACAAGATTCTTATCAATTAAATAGTCTGCTTCCATTGCTGCTTCAAATCATTCAGAAACTAGTAGCGCAAAAATCGCGCAAATTCATTTTACCACAACTTTACAACGATTTTCACACATACACCAGTTAATTCCGTTATCCAATGGTTGAAGCAATTTCACAACGACCAGACACGCCTCAAAACAGATGACGAGATTTGGCAGGATCGGCCAATGCGCATGCGTATAAAACAGCTGGTACTAATATCCAGATTTTATAATTTCCTAATAACTTATTTTGCGCTCGTACAATGCAAAATACATATTTAATTAGATTGTTTGGCCATCAAGTGCCATCCTATGGCGCCCAATTCATATATCACCAATACCATAGTACAGAGTTATGTCAACAGCGGGTCAAAAATAAGACTTATATACTAAATTTGTATTTAATTAATTGTAAGGATAAGCTTACATCGTGAATTGGCCACGATGTACCATGGATCAACTTGGCGCATGAAGATGCTCGACTAGGTGGTAATCTGCAATAACAAATATATGTTTTCTATTCTCACTTACTATTGCTGTCACTTTCAGAATGTAAAACATCACGACTTGTACTTGGAGTTACAGATTCACTCATCGAGAAGTGTCCTTGGAAAATAAATAAATAAATAAATAAATAAATAAATAAATAAATAAATAAATAAATAAATAAATAAATAAATAAATAAATAAATAAA